AGAAATCTGCATGATGTGGCTTTTTTAGAGGCTTGCTCAAATACCATAATCACTTTTATATAAGAGTAAACTCTGGCTGACTACTCTGTTTTGTGTTTTAGCCAGCAAGACCAAAAAGCAGATATTTGTCAGCTACAATCTTCAAAACACAGACAGCAATTTCACCTTACTCATAGAAAACAGGATCAAAGAAGAAATGACAGCTTTTCCAGACAAGTTCTGATTGTGCATCATTGTAAAAGAAGATGAAGGTTTTGTTTCAGAAAATCTTATTGCAATTTTCACACTGACATTGTTAGTATATTTCTTTTGTATTGTTTTGATTGAATTTGTGGTTGTTATTAAATATAGATACACTTGACTACGATTTTCTTTTTTTTCAAATAGAATTTGAATTTTCAAAGCAAAATTTTTTTTTTCCTACCCTGCCAAGTAGGATAACAAATGGATGCTGCAATGGATGAACATGACTGAAAAAGTGCATGTGGTGTGTGGTCTCCACACAGTGCTGGGATCTGATGGCAAATCAGTTCCAAATGCTATCTCTACAATTAATCTGTTGTGTACTAGCACTGAACATAGTATAGTAGCTTTTAGTGTTCAAATAAAGAACCCCCACATTTTTGTATGGTAAAGCTGTGACATGAGTGTTACTTTTGTCCTTTTAGCCTCTCTTGATTATAGTACTGGTGCTAAAGAGTGGATTTCCTCCCATGCCTTGGGCACTCAGAACATGAGAAGGATTTCACAAAGGGTTATTTATGCATCTCTGAGGACTACATAGAAGGAAAAAGCACAAGCCAAGTTCTGGAGCAATAGATAAAGCTGTCAGGCTGCTAGAAGAGCATTACATGTAAATTGAACATATACATAAAATCAGAGAGGTCTGCTACTGTGACCACCAGTGAAAAACATCCTGCTGCTACATCTCTGGGCTTACTTTCAGGTAGGATGGCTGTCTTTTAATAGGGCATTGGCTGTTTTGTTTATGAGATGGCAGCCAGGAGTTAACTATCTGGGTTTTGGTGTTTTTTTTCTTTCATTCTGAGTTGAACCCTCGTGCTAAAGCATCAGCTTCTGATACAAACCTAAACTAAACTGCTGGTGCTGCTTCCAGACAGCTGTCCTAAGCACCTACAGAAAAGTGATGGATTTACCTTGCTGTGGTGCCACAATCAGCAATTAAAACCTGTAACTGAGAGGCTGCTGCTGTAGGAGGCACAGCTGCTGAGTCTCTTGTCCAAAAGAGTTTGAATACCCAGTGGCTTCAGTGTCTCAGATTTGGTGTGGGTGCAGAGGGCCCCTCCTTACCTGGTAGGAACAGCTGCCTGTCCTTGGCTGCAGTTCAAGATCAGAATAGCAAAAAGCAACTGTTGAAGGGTATTTTCTTTTCAGTTTACACCACTGAGGAAACAGAGTCAACTATCCTTCTGTAATTGACTGTAAAGGATAATTACTTGCAAATCAATGTGCCTTTTTAATTAGCCTGATTTACAAACAGCTCATTCTGTTTGGAGAGCAGGGTAGGGCTATTTGCTGAGGCATCAGCTGCTGCTGGGTATTTGAGAAGTCACTGCAAGGGAGCCAGACCAGGGAGAGCAAACTGATGGGACAACATCATTTTATTCTGTACAATTTACATACAAAGTTCTTCTCAGTAGGTACAACAGATGTAACATCATGCAGACATTTAGCTTGTAAGACTGTTTTCAGTACTTAAGCTTGTGCTATGAGGAAGCACCACCAGACTATTCATGATCAAAACATACAGTAACACGATTCTTTAAAACTTCATCAGAAACTGAAATGGGGAGGGAGATCTCGCCCACTAGACAAAACACACTGTACTCCTTTCCCAAAACATTTTACACAACACATTTAAAATGAGGTTTGTAATTTCATTTTTTTCTTAAAAAATAAAATAAAAAAAAGTTACAGGGGGGAGATCATCCCCCCACTCAATAGTGTTATCTTATGTGCCAGCTACAGGCGCAACTTGACATTCACAGAGTTCAGTTAATGGCACTTCTGCTTCCAATTTGGTGACCAATAAAGTGTTTGTCTCCAGGAAGTGGCAACAGTTAGGTAAAATACTTCCACTAAAAAGGACGACAACAAAAAAAGCCTGCTCAGTGAAACCCAAAAGTAAATCACACAACCCTCTTTCAGAGTGGCCACAAACCACTTGCAAACAGGTGTTATCTGTTTGCAGTGTGTCTGGCAACAAAAGCAGTACTGAAATCTTACAAAGGGGGACAAAACCCCCAAGATCAAGCATAATGTCACTTCACATTTTTGTTTGAACTTACAAAGATGGAGAAAGCCCTTAAATTGGTAAACCCAAAGAAAAATCTACTGATGGGCTTAGAGGTTACTGAAGATTCACAGAAAAAGGCCAAAAATGGACAGGACAGCTTTGGACTGCTTCCCCTGTTGTGGTGGCCAGAAAGAGCCGCCTGAGAAAAGCCTTTCCTGGTGATGGCTGCAGAGGAGACGTGGCCAAGGAGCCAATAGTGCAGCAGGCTGGGCCTCCAGCAGAGAGTCCTGTCCAAGGCAGGGCAAGCATCCCCACGCTTCCTTTCTGCCCTGCTGCATCACCTGGTTCTTGGCTCCTCCACACAGGATAGGTTTAGTGAAAGCTTTCCAACTCCATGAGCATGTGTGAAAGAACATAATCATCACAGAAGTGTTCATGTTTTCAGGAAAAGGAGCAAAACTGGAACTGCCAAGGCAGAAAGTTAGTTTTTGCTTTATTGTTGTGACAGAGGCAGAGGGCCAGACTGACTAGAGAAGCTGGGGCTCCCTTCATTGCAGATCAGTACCGACTACCTGGTTTCAAGCCAAAAAGCAGCAAATCAAATCAACTTCCTAAGATTTTTTTCTTAACCAAAAAAAAACCAACAAAAAAAATTGCTGCACGTTCCTGTCACCTAATGTATTTACTATCTAAATGCTGATATGTTTAAACAAGTATTCTTTTCCCTGTGCCTGTCATCGGAGAGCAACCACCAGAATAGGAACCGCTAAAGCGCTGTGGACAGCAGCGGTGAGCTCGCCAGGAGCACTGGCAGTGCTGGAAGCAGCCAGGTTCACAGGCCTGGATGCTCTGCAAGAGCTGTACTGCAGCTTGAGCACACGGGCCACCAAGGAGACCACGAGGGAAGGAGCCCTGGCTCCTCAGCACGATGGATGGCAGGTGCTGCTTTCTGCCTCTGTGCTCACACTTTCTCCTCTCCCAGGCCCTTTCTCTCTTCCCTGAAGCCTTGTTTTGCTTCTTCAGCTTTTTGTCGTGAACCCATTTCTTTCATCCCCGAATGTGTGTGGCTTGCAACAAGTATCTCGCATCAAAGGCAAAAGGTATTGCACAAATTTGGTGTGTGAATACTGCACGAGTGGGGAAGGGCTGGGTTCTTTCCTCAGATGAACACAGACTGCAAAGGTCTCAGCACAGAACAAAAAGAAGCAGCTGCACTCAAGCCTGACAATGAAACTTGAGTGTAAGGAAGATCAGGCTCTTGCTGTCACAGCAAGTTTAGCAAGGGTGAAAAAAAACCAGTAGTGTAACTCTGGGCGAAACTACCATCAACTGGTCCAGTGTTTCTTACCAGGCTCAAGAAGAACCCAAATGTCCACATCATCCTCTGTAAAAATTAGCAGCTTTAGGACAACATTGTTACTCTGGATGCAACCACCTCTGTTGCTTCTGCAGGTCTGCCTGTCCCCTTGCATCCGTCAGCATCTGAGGCTGTGCTACCTTACTGCATGGCCTGCTGGGGAGCGTGGATCTCTGATTTATTGGGAGCTGTAAGAGGACATTGGCAGCCTAATAGAGGATGGAAATTGTTAGGTACAGTAGTTAATCGACAATATATACAGCAAGGGAGGAAGGGGGAGGGAAGGTACAGGAGGAGAGTGCAAACGAGCACTTCTCCTGCCTCTGAACGCAAGATGTACATCAAACAAAGTGGCAGTCATACAGACAGTCAGTACAACATTGACATCCTGCTGCTCTGCTTGAACGTCTGCACTACCGAGCAATCACAAATGGATGGCCTGAGTGAGGAAGGAGAACAGGGAGGGAGAGAGGGGAGAGTTAACTACAATGCAAGAAAGCTGTTTACGGAGTCCTTGCATTGAACTAGATCCTCACAATATTCTCTTGAGTGAGAACTAAAAGCCAATGGCCAAAGGAAATAATTTGGGGGCTGGAGGAGAGAAGTCAAGTGGCCACTATCAAAGTGCCATCTGCACAGCAGGAGGTAAACTGGATGTTCGCTTTGTGTAGAATTAATCAAATTTTTCCTGAACTTTTTTTTCCTGAACTAAAATCTTACAAGAGCAGTCAGGAAAGTGAGGAAGTAAGGGTGAATTCATTGTATATTCTTGGGTCAGAACCAGAACACATCTCTAAGAGCGCAAGACAGCTCAGTAAGTCATTATTCACAGGCTATCAATTAATTCCTTTCCAACAGTTATTTAAGCAGTTTTCCCACTTAAATTGAAAACCCAAACCCTGGCTCTAAAAACATTTAGGACAATAAATACCAGGACACTCATTTCCCAGGAGCAGATATCCCAGCTATGCTGCCTTTTGGAATAAAGGTAGATAGTTATATATATAGATAATTTCCCATGCTCCTTATTATTTATCACTGCTGGTCTATGCTTTTTTCCTGGAGCAGTCAGAGATCCTAGGCCTCCTGATAATTACAACCATTCTAGACAAAACTCATTTTTGCATCATTAGTCAAATTATTTGCATCATCTACATTACAATTAAGGACCGGTGGCAACCATCTAAAATAGATTAATATATTCTTAAAATGCAGAAAGCTGATTCTCATTGAAAAATCAGCTTGGTGGGGTAGGATTTTCTCCAATGCATTCAGTGAAAACAAAAAAGGACTAATTTAGAAAGTAATTTTAAGTGCACATGGGTTATAAAGACAAATATAAGCTGCCTAAAATGCAGTCAGAGTTTGAGTCACAACAGGTTTTGCTTTGCTTTTTCTTCTTTTTTTTTTCTTTTTTTTACTGTATACAAACACAGCAGGCAATCTGGGCACTTGGACTTTCTAGACAGGCAGAAGAATGTTGCACAAGTCTAAGTCAATTCAACTTTGCAGTGAATCCCTCTTTCCTTTAAAGAAACACAAAAACAAAACAGAAAACAACACTCCCCCTCCCCCCATGGTTTCTTTCTTGGAATGGCTGCACCTCTTAAAAGATGGCTTCATTTTTGTGATCTATGAAGGGAAAAGGAAATAAAGTGCTTCTTGAGAATAAATCAAAATAAATATACATATTTAATGGCAGGAAAAAAAGAGTTCTGAAGGGCTACTGCCAGCCAGGTCTTTTCTCAAATGAGTCTTTTCCCCCAAAACTTTTCAAAAGTAATCTGCATGACTGTTGAAGATGCCAAAATTTGCTTTAGTAGCAGAGTTGAATTCCTCTAAGTTTGTGTCTGCTCCATCACTGGTTTGTAAAATCTCTGCAAAACACCTTTGCCCAAAGTGCAACTCCTCCCGCACAACAGCATCAAATAAAATACAAAAGGAAGAGAAGAAATATAAGACGGGGAAATAAAATAATTAAAATAAAAAGGAGAAGGGAAAAAATCCACCCAGTTACATCTACTTCATGCCGTTGGCAGTGGTGTTCTCGGAGATGCCGTCGCTCACAGCTGCTGAGTCGTGGAGGCCAGAGTAATCCTTGAGTTCAGAGTTTGTCAGGAGCAGGGGCTGCTCGCCCTTCTTGTGCGGCAGCAGCGGCTGCCGCGTGTAGTGTTCCCCGTCTGGGATGTTCTCAGGCAGGTGCTGGTTCTTGCTCTCGGGCAGCAGCAGGATGCAGATGATGCAGATGAGTGTGCAGCAGGCGAAGATGACGTGGTGGAGGAAGTAACCTTTCTGGTTGTGCAGCTCCATGATGGGGGCGGTCAGGCGGCCAAAGCCCGCGCTGGCCAGCACCAGCCCCAGCCCGCCGCCCCTGCAAGCACAAGCACAGGGGGAAATAATCACACTCAAGTATCATTTCACACCCCTTTAGCTGCCCCACATAGGAAAAAGAGAGGCTTTACCATGTGGGTGTGTATACAGTACTCTAAAGTACTCCCAGTTCCAAGTATTCTCACATTCAGTGAGGGAAAACCAGATTTTGCTTAGCATGCCACCCTTCTCCACTTAGACCAGACACACCAAGGAGCAGTAAGTGCAGAAGTCAATTTTGGCTGCCTCTAAGTACCTGGCACCACTCAGCAGTGGAGGCAGGAGATTAGACTTTACAATCCATTATACCAAACACGGACTGCTGGAATATTTTCTACACAAAATCATGTTATGGCTGGAACTTCTCAACACTCTGGAGATGTAACAAAATGCATAATTTTCAGGAAAAAATAAAAGCGTGAAAATAGACTCATCTTCCTCCAGCTAGAGGTGCAGAAGCTGCTTGTGAAAGGTCAGTTCAGTGCTCTCTCCTGATGCTTGGCTAAGTAAGCAAACTCTCTTGCAATTCCTCGTCTTGCTCATTAGCATCTCTGCAGAGGCTGGTGCAGGAGGCCTGGCACGCCTCACAGTCCTGGGGCTGTCTCTGCTGGGTGTCCCCACATAGAAGTGGCACTGCAGGTGTTTTCTTTGGTTCAGGCCATACCCTCCTGCTGTGACACAACTGAGGTCTCCTGCCAGCAGAGGGTTGTCCTTAAATGACTCATTTTAACAAAATCTGTGAGAGTGGCAGCTCCTCCTCCATTTTCCAAAGACTGCTGCCTGCAGAGGGAGACCTCCCTGTGAGTTTAATCACTGGCACTCCGCTTCCCTACCAAGCCTGTGAGGGCAGCACACTTCCTACACTTCCTCTGGGAGATGCCATCTATTCCCAAACCCTCTGCAGATCAGAGGGGTTCAGTTCCTGGCCCAGTGCAGAACTGTAACTATCCACAACAACTGACCCTTACAGAAGACGGCTTGCAGAGGGCAAATGGACTGCTTTATGTCAAATATTTGGCATAAAACCAGCTTCCCTGACTATTAAGCATCCTGAAAATCACTGTACAAATAAACCTACAAATGCCAAATTCACTCAGCCAACCGCAGTGTTAAAGCTAATCTTCACTCAATCCTTTCCCAAATCCACTGCTGCTTGCTTGACAGCTGAAGGACAGCAAACATGGGTTTCAAAAGATGCTCTTGGGACACTGACTGGATCAAAAATTCACATATGTATGTTCCAATTCTTCAGACTCAGCAGAGCATCTTTCACAGACCACAGTGACTTCCACAAATGCTGCAAAAGCCCTTATTAAAAACTTGCCAGCTTTCCGATGGCAATTTAGAAACCCAGCTGAATGCAACTATTGTGCAACTGGCCTCCCTGCAACTTCATTAATACACTCACATGAGTAATTGACACAACCAGTCCCAAATGCATGGCAGATCTCTCTCCAAGCTGGCTCTGGAGCAACAAAAGCCTGGCTCATTTACATCAGTGATTGCAATGGCTAAATTGTATCTCAACCTCCCCTGAGAAGGACCTGAGGTGAGTTTTAAATGCTGCTGTAGAAGGACACCAAGCAAGCTGAAAGAAAACGGGAAAAGGCTGCAACAAAGACGGCTCTGTCATTTATGGGTCAAGTGGCTTCAGATTTACAGGGGAGAAAAAGTTTTTCCATATGACGTCAGTAATTAGAGTAGGCATTACTTTTTCCAGTGCCATCAAAACCTGGCAGAGGAAGGCTTGAAAGTGCATTTCAGTGTGTGTCTTAAAAGGGATTTCTTTAAGGTTTAACTACACTGCAGATGTGAAATGTGAAGGGAAAAAAAGGGAGAAAATTGAAAATACTCTCAGGAACTTTCTGCTGTTTCCGTGCACATCAGGAAAACAGCTATAGGATAAAAGAGGCAGCAAGCTCATGATTCACACCATTTTTGGAGGTGACAAGGGGCAGCAGGTGGAAAAGAAAAACACTCGGAGTGCTTTGGGGCATTGCTCCTCCTCAGCACAAGGAATTCCATGGCAGGGCCAGCGTCTGTACTTCAGACGCTCTCCAGATGCAGAGTGGAGCCTGGAGAGGGAGTGCGAGGGCTGCTGGCACCCACAGTGATCCCAGCCTTCTCCCTTGCACCTCTGCCTGCCAGTGCCTGCTCTGGAGGATTCCCTATGGCATGGCCCCATGGATGATCAATCAGGACCACTTTCCCAACTCCCGCTCCCCCACTGACACTGGGGAGGAATGGTTTGCATGAGGTTTATGGTACTAACGTGGGCAAATCACAAAATTCAAAATTCTGTCCTCAGAAAGGTCCTGCTTGCTGATAGGGTAGAATTTCCTTGCTTGCTACCTCAGTGTTTTGCCAGAGAGCAGCAAGACATCCACGCTGACATTCTAAGGGAAGGGTCTTATCCTTCTCAGCACTCCTCAGGAGAGCGAGGATTGTTACCCCTGTCTTCAGACAGCCATGTCTGCATTGAGCAAATGGGTCAACACACAACACGCTCAGAGTACAAGCGAGCCAGAGAGATGCCCAGGCTAAAGAAGGCTTTGGGAGAGCACCTAGTCCAGCCTCCTGCACAAAGCAGAGCCAGCACTGAAATCAGACCAGGTTTTCCAGCTCAGCCACTTCTTAAAGTCAGTCCCTGAAAACCTCCTCAGCCATAAGGGATATTTTGTGCACTCAGTCCTAGGCCAGAGATTTAAGTAATACACCAGCATACCCTTGGCCTCATGGAGAAAGCACCACCTTGAGAAGCCAGGCCTTATTCAGGTCCCAGTAGACAGCCCTGCATCCCACTGCATTGAGGAATACACTCAGTGCTGGTAGCTGGGTGGGCAAGGTGGTGTCAGCTGCAGATTGATCCCTGGGGGTGGGACCCCAAGAGGAGAGGCTGTGACCTGGTGCAGAGCCTCTGTGTGAATGTGGCTGAGCCAAGTGGCTCCTGGGTGGTCACAAAGGAAAGTTTCCTCAACAACTGGAAATTTGGCTTGAGGCAGCTATTGATGGGAAAAAGCCCTAATTTAGCCATCCTGCCCACTCTTTGGCTGGGTGGGCACAAAAGCAGGACACTGAGAGAAAAAGACAGAACCATCTTACACTTGATAGTAACTGAGAATATGGAGGATGAGGAGAGGACATGCTGTGTTTTGTTCAGCCTATTCCCATTTAGTAGACATGCAGGCTGTAGGGTGTGAAGATTATTCCATGTGGATTATCAGTGACACTTGGTGCTTTCATTCAGCATTTGCGTGGAGGTCTGCACTGAAGCCCCAGGTACAAATAAGGATAGCTCCTGATGAAGCCCTCCTGCCTACTGCCAGGAGACTGGGGGGCAGTGCACAGATCCCAAGGACCCCTCTGTGACACATGACAGTGTGGAATGTTCATGTTGCTGAGCAGGTGTCACCTCTTGGTGATGAGGGTCTGGCTGTTCTCCTCCTGGAATTGTTCATCTCAGCACCACAGCAGCAGAGATGGATGAGTGCTGTGGGTTTGCTATCATGCCACGGATACCCCAGGTAATGGCAGTGCTATTTTCCACTCTCAGGGATTTGCAGACAATGGATTTGATCAGGGAAATCCCAGAGACAGTCTCAGTGCTCTCTTTGCCTTCCTATTCCTTAAGGTTCCTTGAGATCTAACCAAAAGCATATTAGTATCATACCATGGTTTGGGTTGGAAGGGACCTTAAAGATCATTTAGTTCCAATTCCCAAAGGCATCCAGGGTGGCATTTTGGAAAGCAGATTATGAGAGAGTAGCCAGATCCCACCAAAAGGCAAGACAGAAGGCAGCTTAAGCACACCTCTGCATGAGACAGATTTATGCACTGTCCTGAGTTACACCTCCTAATTACAGTCCTGAGGGGATCTTATTGTGGTGGTAGGATCACAAAGCAGTGCAGAGTGTCATCATTTCTATAAATAAACAGGGACCCTGAGGCATATCTAGCTGTTGTCACTCGCCTGGTGTCACCCAGCAGAGTCAGGGGAAGCAGAATTTTGGCTCCCAGCCAGGATTTTGTCCCCCTGCCTGTAGCAACATAAGTGATTTAAGGGAAAAAAGCTTGCTAAGTTCAGACTGCACATCTGACCCTACTTGGCAGATTCTCTTCTGGCTGACATGGTCAATTCCTTATCTATGTGTCTTTCAAACAGAGCCAAGGAGAAAATTAAAAAGGCATAAAAATACCAAACTGATTGACACACACATAAATAAATAGCTGTTAGTGTTTCAGGCTGCTGTATAATCTCACTCCTCACGCTGCCTTTTTCAGTGGAATGAATGTTATCCATAAAATACTTTCACAAATTTAGATAGCCTGAAAAAAAGACCATGAAGCAAGGAGACTGGCTGCTCAGATGACAGTTTTGCAATAATACTTTTGCAAAGTAGTTGAAAAAGCATATAATTTGGAGGGGACAAAATAAAAGTATCCTCTTTCCTCTACTCTCTCTCTCCCTCCCACCCATATGACCTAAATTCCTGGGAAATTCAGTGAAATCAGAGCAAACTCCTGAATTGCTGTGGCATTGCTGAAAGCATAAGCCAGAACACAAAAGCACAACCTTTGTGCTGTGAAAGATAACAGTGCATGTACAAAATGATACAAACCCCTGACCATACAAAGATGTCTTATGAGAAACTCTCCAACAAAGATAATTTGTCTGATTTCTCCTATTTCCCAGGATGAAAGTGCTCCTCTTTAGAAAAACTTTGAGCCTCTGCTAAGATAGGTCTGATTGTGAAGAGAAAGCAGCTTTGTCTGCAATAAAGGCAGCGAGGCAGGCTTGCAGAGAACCTCTATGCACCAAAAGCATTTACACCACATGTTTCAACACCTTCCTTCCACTGAAGCACCCTGCAGCTGTCCTGGTTAACCTGCCCTATGCAGGCAGGGATTGCTGGCACCTCTGCACAGTCATGGAATTCCTCCTTTAATATCAGGATGCAGACTCACCCAACTGCTGCTTGAACAAACCCTGCAGTGTTAGTGAAGCAATGACAATGCTCAACCACACAAACTGCTTCAGCTGAGTATTTAAGACCCTGCCAAGCTGCAATTCATGTGCTGCCAGGCCTGCTGATCATCACCACGACGGGACACAAGGTGGAGCCATGGAAAACAAAGCCTCTCTATACACAGACATGCATTTACTTGTGCAGACTGACTGCAGCCACTGCAAAAAGCAGCCCCCAAGTTGCTGTGAGGTCTCCAATGACGTGCTCCCATACAATGTGTTAAGTTACACAGCCCATTATCAATTAAATGAGGATAATTTTGTCCCCATCTCTTGAAGGGGGCTCCAAAGTCTCACCTGATTACTGTGGGTGTGATTTCAGCACAGAAGAACACGCTGAGGCTTCCAACAGCATGCGAAGAGAACATACCCACGATGGAAAACGCAACAGAGAATTTGTCTTTGACACTGTCACTCATACCTGGCAAGACAAGTGTGTTCATAAAAAGTAAGAATGAGGTCAAACTTCTAAGGAAGAAAACAATCAGTGAAGTTTATATTACTCTTCTCCCTCAATAGGAATTTGAGTAATTTCGTAATACTAATTTAAAACTGGTACTTATAAAATCCATTCCCTGAGCACCTGAGATACAAACACACATGAAAAAAACTCATAATGTCATGCCAAAAAATGACAGTGATCTCTGATTTTTTTATGCTCAGACACCACAGAAAAGGTAAAACCCATGGAAAAACCAAAATCTTTGGTCAATCTTTTAGACACCAGCCTCTTCCCTCTCATATTTGACAGACAAGTAGAGGCAGGCAGTGTTCCTCAAGCTGCCAAACATCTTGTGCAGTGGGGCTTGGGCTCTGAAGAGGCTTCCAGGACAAGAGAGGAAAGAACTAGAAGTGCTCCCATCTCTGTGCTAAGCCTCTGCATGTGATCAGTCTGCAACCTCTGTTGTACCTCCCAGCTTGACCACTCTGGGCAAGAGCAGCCGATGCCAAGGATGGCAAGACACTCCTTAAGCCAGGGCTGTTTGCTCAATCCTCTCACAGCTGGATGGCAGCAAGGGTTCCAGGAGCAAACAGTGTCTATCAAGCACTTGCAGAAACCCCAGTAAATCTAAACAAAGCTCAAGGAAACTGTCTCTGGCCATGATGACAGTACACATCTCACTGGATCCCTGCTCGCCACCTCCTGTGGGCAGGGCTGGCATCTCTGACCAGGGTTGCACAAGCTCACGTGGCCTGTCCTGGCCAGCAAGGAGGCCACATCACTCACAGACACCATTGCACCACACAAGGGGACACATCATGCCTGACAGGAGCACTGGGGAAAGTGCTGGAACTTTGCAGCCAGTGCTCCCTCACCTTTCTACACTCGTGTCCCAAGCCCTGCCTGAAGAAAGAACTGCTTTGTGCAGTCCCAAGCAGGGACTGTCTGGCTTGGATCCAGTGAAAATTAACACCTGCTTTTGTTCTTGCTGAATATATCAGCTGTCAGGAGAGCAAAAGGTATTTGGGAACTCTTTGGCTACACCTTCTGAAATGTGCTACAGCTTGCTCAGGGCTAAGCTCTTTCTGCAACGCACCCCAAGTCTGAAGGAGAGAGCAAATTCTGCCAGCTGATGAGGATGTGGGCACAGCATCTTGCAAACCACGGGTCTCAGGCCACTCTTGCATAGCAAGTGAGGCTACACCATTGATCCCCTCAGGGAATCGTAGCTGCTCAGCAGAACAGACCTTGGAAAAACTGGGCAAGGACAGGTCCATCAAATCTGATACACAAAGGTACATTTTGTTCCTCTGTAGTTTGTTACTGCATTGCCCCTACAGTACTTCATCCTGGGAAAGCATTTTTTAAGGTATTTAACTCCCCTTATTTAAAGAGTCCTTAGGGTGTTTTAGTCCCTTTTTCTTTTCTGGGAAAAAAAAATAAGAAAATCTGAGATTTTTGAACTGGAAATGTTGCTTCTCAGAAGGAGACTTTCTGAGAAAGCCTCATCCTGTATGTCAAACCTTGGGGGACGTCTGCACCTTCTCTCTCACCTAAAACAAAGAGGCTGAGCACAGATGAGCAGGCCTGCCTGTCAGTGGGGTCTCAAGGCATGTACAGAAGTGGACTTTCCCCCTGCACCCCTTTGTGGCAGCAGATCTGCTCTGGGTGCTTTGGCTGAGGCCTTTTGGATCCCTCTGTTCCTGGGGGAGTGCTTCCCACATGATGCAGATTTGTCTGTAAACCATACCTGAGTCTGGAAGTTGACTGTATTTTCCAATCACTGGATCCAAGACCATGTAAGTCAGAGAAAGATAAAAGAGAAAGGGAGAGAAAACAAGAACATACAGTTTTTATATGTTTATTTATCTGAAAAACAAAGGGTAAATCCCACATGCCACCCTAGCCCCACCCTCTGACTCCCAATTCTTTCCCATGCCAAAACCTTCACATCTTTCCCTGGCCACCAGAGAGGACATGCTGTTTCCAGGCACATCTCACCTGGAGGACAGCATGCTAATGAGACAGTGATAACAAACCAGCAGTAAAGCATATTTAAAAGCCCCAGAATTACCACTGGGATTAACACAAAGGCCTCTTTGTTGTTAATGAAGGGGGAGAAGAGAAAATGCCCTCCTGCTGCAGCCCTGAGGGAATGGCCAAGAGAAGCTTGGGTTAGAGAGCAAAATCTGGGCATCAGTGCTCTCAGACTGGTGGGAGAGCTATCCCTCTCCAAAAGCATGAGCTGATGGTCCCTGTGTCACACCACACAGGAGCACATGGCAGCCTGGGCAGCAAGGGGAAGAGCATCAGCACAAGCTGGGCACAGCTCTGCTGGTCATCTCTCATCCTGATTCTGTGACTTTCCAGGTGACACTCCAGAGCTCAGAGGAGGGGTATAACAAGGAGACCTTCAAGGACTGCTGCAGGTTTGGTGCAGAATACCTCTCCCTCTCACCATTCTCAAATTCTGATTTCATTTTCCTATTACACCCAAATTATGCTAAATTAAAACATGCAAGATGCTGTGACAGATTTCATAATAAACAAAGGTCACTACTTCTCTCCAAACAATGTCTAGTTTCTTCTAAGGAAGAGGTGGCCATGGTCAAGAGTGGGGTGAGCTGCTCTGAAGTTTGAGGTTGCCTTTCCCTCCTCTTCTCACAAAGAAAAGAGTGGAGTCAGAAAGGCTGACAAGGGCACTGCATTGAGAGTGCCAGTGTAGCACAAAGCACCTAAAGCCATGCCTGATCTTAGTTCTGGCAACTTGGCTCACAAAACCACCTAAACCTGTTATGGAAAAGGTTGTAATGAGTCCTACAGGGTGTTGCCTCCCACCTCCCTAATAAATTTATTTTGAAAAAATGCAACCAGATTTTCGTGGCTCTGGAGCAGACTAAGGGCTCTGACACACCGTCTCTCAGCTAAGCAGAGTGTGTTTATTGCCTTGACAGCCTCAACAAACATCTCCCATCCTGAAAACAAAAATTAAAATGGGCAAGTTCAGTGTAGAGACACCCTGATGGACACCCCCAGAAGAACATGGAGCTTTGGGAGGTTGCACGCATGCACAGTGTGAATCTGCATGTGAATGGTCTCAGTCCATCAACAGACATGGTGAGGCGCAGCCACAGGGCTTCTCCCACTCTCAGCTGGCATTGCTGGACATAGTAAATATGTGCCCAAAGGAAATGTAAACATCTGTGCCAAGCTGGGAGCAAACACACATGATGCTGGAGTTTCCTCCATGTCATGAAAGAGGTTCCCTGTTTCCCTCCTACACTCCCACAAATAGCTTGTTTGCTAAAGGCGAACTTAGTAAATGCCTCTGGGTAACAGAGGCATTTGTAAATATGAACAATTCCTTTTGGCTTGGAGCTGCCCTCAGTATGCAAGAATGTGAAAGCTTTCCATCCTCAATGCAAAAAGCTCTTTCTTATTAAGGCGCTCAATTATTTCTAAACATAGAAATTAAAACCAGCAATAGCCAGTGTTCTGGTATTTGTCTCACATCCAGTTTGTCCAAAGTATGTCTCAACCCTCTTCCCCCTTCCTTGGGGTGGGGTTTTATGGGACAGGAGTCTAATGATTGGACACTGTGAGAGAGGCAAAGCACATCCCAGATTCCCTCTGCTTCAACACCTCTCTGATTGATCAAGTTCAACCCCCTCAAGCAACAAAAAATGAAGTGAATGAAATAACATGGAAAAAGGAAAGGGAATATTTCTATAGCAGTTTTAATAGCTGAAACAGCTCAAAAGGGCCACACAAAAGTTACTGCTTGCAAAGGAAGAGGTGGGACACTCTCACTTTTTGCAGGAACAGCCATTTGAAATGCTTTGTCACTTTACAAAATCATGTGTATACATTCACATGGACTATACGTACAGTATGTTAAAAGCGGGGTCTTTCAGCAGCATGATTTCTGTGCTACCTTTTTATTACTTGTTCATAGCAAGATGCTAAGAGCAGGCAGAGGACATACACCTACTGCTTTAACTTTTGCATGGTTTGGAGGCCACTTGGGAAGCAGACTTGAGTGGGAAATATTGCCTTTCCAATCTTGATACAGCTCTTTCCCTGGTGGATGTTTCACCAAAATAAAATTGAAAGTGTTTCTTGTTTCCTTGCTTGTTTTCTTGGTGACTACCCCGGATACAGCACCAAAGCTCAATAAGCTTCACCATGGGAATCATCCAGAATACAATGCCTTTTGTTAATGAGCCTGAGAAACAAGTGTTTGGGGAAACCTTCAAACAAACTCAGATTCTAAAACTATGCAGGTCTATCAGATGACAAATCCGGGACAGGCAAAGGAAATGCCAGTATTTCCTGGTCCCTTATTTGCACGTCAAGCTTGCGTGGTCCTGAAAAGCTGTCATCTCCAACTTACAGTTGAGAAGGCCCAGCTGCAGGAGCGATGCCAGAGCTGTGAGTATCATGAAGAGCAGGAGTCCTCCTCTCCTGCCCAGAAAGCCGACCACAGGGCACATGGCCAGGCAGGATGCCAGCGCGATCCCGGCCATGGTGTAGTAGTCCGCGTAGAAGTTGTGGGTAATCGCCATCTTCGCCTCATGCCCCATCATACTCTTTGCAAAACAGTGGTGTATGCCATAACCAGTCAGCCTGGGGGAAACAGGAGAGGGCAAGAGAGACCACTGCTGAGAGGGCAGAACACACACTGCAGTGTTATTCAGTGTGGGGAGGAATTAATGCAGGAGTACAACACCCTAAGTTAAGAGACTTATCTCTAGGTGCTACTGTGAAAATAAGCATTGATAAAAAGAAGCAAAAGAAAAAAATCTCCATTGAGCCAAATATTTGCTGACTTTATTAATTTAGCTGCTGCTCATGGTATGATCAAGGCATGGGGAACTTTAGAACTCCTAGTGCATGGTAGGTTTTCCCATTGTATTTGAGAAATCTCATTCCCAGAGGAGCGCATCTCTCTGTTCCCAGTGCACCTGCTGACAGTACAGAGTCAGCACTGCTGTGATGAAGTAGCCTCTGTGCTTGGACAGCAAAACACCAGGAATACTCACCTGCCTGTGGCATTTGGTCATACTAAATACAAGCATTACAGCTCACTTCCCAAGCTAACCCATTAAAACTGAAAGCTCCTGAGAAAGGAGTGTTTGAAGTTGTATGTGCTGCAATGATTATTACAATCGTGAAACAACAAGATCTAATTCAGTCTACACATTTACACCACCCTTCATAGCAATGTGTCTCCTCCTCTTTAAAAAATTTCTTTGAAATGCCACTGATCAACATCTTACCATCACATTTCACACATCTGTCTCCTGTCTCACCCTGTGCCTCCAAAAAAAAAAAAGAAAAAAAGGAAGAAAGAGAAGGGGGCTGAAGGTACAAAAGTCTGATGACACGCCGCAGCTTCTCCCCTGATGTGGTACAAAACACAAAATAGCAGCAGGGATGCAACAGGAGAGGTCAATGCTCTCAACTGCACCATCACAGCTCAAGTTCCTCTGCCAGGAAGAACCTCCTGTCCCTGGCACTTACACAAGACAAATCTCATGGCACAAATTAACAGTGCTTGAGCGAGTGGGAGGCACAGATCCAGGTCTCCAAAAAAAAAACAAACAAAAGAAAAAAAAAGAAAAGAAGGCAGGTGCATTACACTGATACACTTCTATACTTCTGAAGTTCAGGAATTTGAAGCTCTGTCAGTATAAGCTGGGTATCCAAATAAGCATAGAAACAGCTGTGGGGCTGTGCAGATCCTGAGTGCATGACAGTCCACAGCCTGAGGAGCTTTTCTTGCAAACTTGTGAATCTCAAAACCCCATCCTTAATACCAAACACCTTGCCCCTGATAAAAACCTAATACAAGTGCTTCCTGTTACACAAAATTGACATTTGCTTTGAATAACTAGATTATAGCTGACTCCTCCCCTAAGAGAAATATTAATCAGCAAAACAGTAGTAATAAAAGGGCAGAGTTAACCAGCTTTTCTTCTGTCTTTCTATTCTATTCATGCAAACACAGTTGCAGAAGTTGCTATTGAGACCATGACCTATAAAGTAAATTATTTAATCATTTGGACTTTGCTTTCCAGCCTGTTCCCTAAGAATCTATTCTCTTCACTTGGTGAGCAGCTCAGAATAGTTACTTTTAAAATTGAATCCTTGTCTTCCTTAATTTCTTTTTGTTCCCTGCAGAAGGTTCCTTCTATATGAACTAAAAATTTAGCACAGCCTTGTCTAACAGGAGTAACAGAAGTAAAATTAATTTTTTTCCACTCCTTAAAAACAAACATGAAATCTATTTCCTCAGATGTACATCTGCTTCATGCTCTGCTTGGATGCAAACAGCCTTCATGTGCTAATGCCAGAAATTATTTTTTGGACTGCCTAGATCTGATTTAAGGAATTTCCAAATATGCAAATTAATGTGGGTGAGGGAGGAGCGGAGAATTGCCCATGCAAACAGTTTTCACAAATACATTTAACACTGTCTACCAAATGTACTTGGTGAGCCTAAGAAGAAAGAACTCTTTCAGAACAGAGGTAGTCCTCACTGGTGGGTGGAAGAGAGACACAAAAATCATAAAACCAGAGTGGATTCTGAAATAAATTATGCTGGAGACTGACCCCTGAAGTCTGTGTGCTTCTGGGTGACTGCTTGCCCAGCATGGGGGCTGTCCCCTCTGGGTGCTGACTGATCCACAAGCCTGCTAACAGGAGCGAGGGCTGCAGAGCAGTGCCCTGAAGTGAGGAAGAAAAAGCCACAAGAGAACCACATACTTTGAAACCTAGCAGGGGAAGGGGATTCCCAGCCTTCTCCAGCCCCACCTCCCATTTGAAAAGAAAACCATGAAAAATTCAAATTGGAATTTTACAAGATGGAAAAATTAGCAAATGCACTGCTGGTGCCCTTCCAGAATTTGCAAGCCAATGTATTTCCTCTTTACAAGGTGTCAGTTCTGGACAGAAGATCTCAGAACCTGTAACCTGCAAAACCCTCAGGCTGATGCTTGTTTTTACCCACATGAGCACGTCCAAACTGAAGCCGTAGGAGGTGAGCATCACATTGTCCTGTTGGAGACTGCACATTCCCCCTGTGACCCCCTGCACATAATTTGGGAGTGCTGAGGCACTTTGTAATCTGCCTTTGAAAGCCCACCAAGCACAGCTGTTATACGAGGGAGCAACTTGTATTTACTGGCAAGCACCATCTTCCTCTGCACCACAGCCCTGTCAGACGTACACAACTTGAACCTGTGCTCCTGGGGCAGGAATGGTTTCCAAACTCCCACCTGAGATGCCAAGCAGATGTGAGTATGCATGAACACTTATCAGCCTGTGGCTACACCAGACCACTGGTGACAGCAACACAATTGCAGCATGGCACCTGAGAAGATGCAGTTCTGCTGCCTGAAAAGCCACTGAGCTCCTCCATGTTCGCTATAAAAAACACAGTTCCCTGCAACAGCTGGTGTTTTTCCAGGATCATCTATCAGAGATGTTAGTGAAGGGTCCCACAGTAGGAAATAGTGGAGCTCCCTCATCACTTCCCATTATTGCTCCAGTTCACTGGCCACACAGATATTAAAACGAAGAGATTGCACTTACGAGTTCACACACAACACTACGATGTTTTTCCACAGGTTCCTTGTTCCCACCACTTTAACAATGCAGACTTTCTTTGGTCTCCTGGTGATTTCCTTTTCCAGCTCTGAAACAAATCAAATCAGAATTATCATTTCACTGAGGAGAATGAGAAGATTTACTTGTGAACTAAGATATTCTGAGGGATGCTCTGGAGAGCAGAACACTATTGATTATATTTATAGGAAATATAAAAACGCTGAACTACCTGCCTAAAGTCCTGCACAGGCTCCTCCTTTTCTTCCAGGCTTCCCTTCATCTTCTTGGGGCAAAAGAACTAAGAACTCCATACTCCAAACATCCTCCCAGTTAAAAATGTGTATGTAAAGTGGGGGCAGCATGGAGCTTGACCCCAACAAGCATGATAGCAAATTTCTTGAAGAACTTCAGGATTCTGTTAATTTTTAGAACCCTCCACAGGGAGGACTGCACACATGCAGCTACAGGCTCTGCCCTCATTGTGCAATGCATACCTAAAAAGCCATGGAAAGGACTGGAGCTCAAACTCAGTTTTCATGGGTCATCTTTTGTAGTTTGTTCAAATGCAAGTTTGAGAATGCAGTGACAAGGACATTATGTCAGCTCATCCATCTTCCACTCCACTCCCTTTTCAAATATTTAAAATTTTTCTGATGGATGTCCTAAACGTTAAGACATTTTCTTAAAGAAAAATCATTGGGCATCAGCAGCTGTGGTGTCTTTGCATTTCAGAACTAAAGCCCCACCATGTCCTTCCAGTTCTGGGCAGCTTCAAGTGAACTTTTCTTTGTAATGCTGAAATAACTCACAAGCCTTACAAATGCTGCCTCTGATACCCTTGTTGGCACAGGACAATAATGAAGGGCACTGTTTATTTCCCAATTATCCTTAAGTTGGAGTTTGAACACCTACCTAAGCGTGCCAAAGCAGCCACTGTTTCCAAGCTACCGGATCAGTGGGCAACAAGTCCAATAAAAGCAGGAGAAGCTGTAGCTATAAAGAAGCATCACAAAAATAATGCCCACCAAGAGCACAGACTAGGTCTGTTTTCTGGGGTAAAGGCTTTCACTACTGCTGTTTTTTTTTGTTTTTTTTTTTTGTTTTTTTTTTTTTTTTTTTGTTTTTGGTTTTTTTTTTTTTTTAAAGGCAGCAGCATGGCCCTGTTGTGAAGGGTGCATGAGTTCTCTTGGTGCATACACAATGAGCTTGGGTGTCCTCAGCTGCCCACACTGGCCTGGCCTGCCCTGACCTCTGCCTTACTCTGCTGAATAGCAACTTCCTAAAGAGATGCAAGACAGGAGAAAATAAAAGCAAGCTGGGGGGGGAGGGGGGGATTTTAAAAAAAAAAGGTCACCTGAATTTACAAACGAAACAAAAACCATATTTGCCAGCTATTATTTGAAAAGTGCATCACAAAAATAATAAATCAAGCAAACACTATTTACATGCAAATGCTTGATCTATTAACTGCTCACAGGTCACTCCTGGTCTTCTCTCTAGAATAATTACTGCGAAGGCTTCTGACAAAAGCAGCAAAGTGTATTTTACATCAGTGATTGTATTTAGGCAGAATATGGCTATACTACTTTCCTAACAACCTGATAATGGCCATTTCTCCCCTGAACCTATGCAGCATGAAGCACACAAAAGCAGAAAAACTAAGGTGGAGCAAAAGAAAAAAAATAGTTAAATTAATATTTGTATTACAGAAACCCTCTTCAGACTCAGCAATGGATCGGGGCCATATTATTATATAAGCAATAAAAAATTGGAGCCTAATCTCAAAGAACAAGGTCAAAATCATTTCGGTAGCAAGATTCTAGGAAGGAATAAGTGGGAACAAAATAATTCAGAACAATTGAAGCAGTTAGATAAAACATAATTATAAAGGACATGATTGAGTCCAGGCCAAACCTTCTACAGAAAAAAATAGTGAAAGCAAACAGTAGGAGAAGCACAAGGTTTTGAAAGGCTGTTGGTGGGTGTTTACTATTTCAGCTGAAGGGCAACAATGAAAATCACTACCCAAACAACACATATTGCACAGATTTCAAAAGGGTTCACTCTCAAACTAAGAATGACCAGATCTGGCCTATAAAGTAAAACATCTCTTCCTTTGTCAGCAGAAGGTAAGTATGCCATATTCTTCAGATTTTCTTAATCTGATAGGGATTTTTGTTTGCTTGTTTCTCAGAGAAATTTGTACTTTTTTCTTTCAAGACAGAGAGTAGACTTACTTGTAAACACATGCTGTATTGAGCCACTACTCAATAAAATCAAGAGAAGCAATGATCAACTTGGCTACACTTTCATTTGCAACCAGCCATTATTATGCCCTCCACTCCTGCTTTGTTCATACATTAGGTCTTCCTATAATCCATATGTTCTTTGTTTATTGTCATGCATCCTCCTCATCTGCACTCAGGCCCCCCTTTTAACCTTTCTCACAAGTCAGTGCTTCTGAACCAGTTCCCACCAGTGTTTTTCACTGAGCTGCTGTTCTGCCTTCAGGTAAGGGCTCACTTGGTTATGTGAACTGTCCAACAGCTCCTGTGTCAGCTGCAGTGAGGATCACGCATGACAGGGGAGCTCACCCCTTCTCTACCCTACTCACGCAGCAATCTTTCTGCAGTGGACCCTTAATCGGCTTTCTTGGGGGTTACATTCCATGGACACATCACAGCATCATACAAAAATGTCTTGATTCCAGATGTAACAGCATTATAAGCATTAAAAAAAAAAAAACAAAAAAACAAAAAAACCAACCAAACAAACAAAAAAATCCACCAAAAAAACCAAACAAGGAGAAAAAAAAAAAAAAAGGGGGAAAAAAGAATCTAGTCTCAAATCTTTCACCAAAGAATGCAAACAGAACCTAGCATTTTATTGAGAGCTTTATGACTCTACCAGCTACTTATGCCTCCATCTCTCTATGATGTTGTTAAAACTCCAAATCTAAGTCACCTGCTTTAGAAGAATGACTTGCCTCCAAGTCTCCAACACAATTTATCTTTCTGATGGCTTTCCCCCTCCTTTGCTTCTATGAATACTAGTGAGATATTCACCAAAAATCCCCACTGCAAAATTAATGGCCTGCAATAACCAAAATATCATTCTAATAAGAAAAAATAAGCTATGTGACTTGCAAAAAAGTCATCAAAGACAGAACTGGCTGTCATGTAAGTGACCTGCTGTCTTTGGAGGGAGCCTGCCTGCATGAAAGGAGCTGCTCCACTGACTTTGATGAGCATCAGGAGAGTGGCAGCTCTCAGGCTGACTTCATAGGTCAAAGTTAAGATATTAAAAGGCAAGTCAAAGCCTATTAAAGCCTCATGGAAGCAAACTATTTTCTTTCAGAACTAACACCAGAAAAACTCCCTGTAACCCCAGTTTACTCTGATTTTCCACCGAAGTCACCAGTACAGACAAATTAGCATTAAATGTTTCAGTTTTGATTTACCAAAAAGTAGAGTTTGGAATATAAGAATATTTCTATCCATTTATTCAGAGGCCCCTAGTACTCCAGAGCCCACACACACTCTAGGCTTCCTATTCAGGGACTCTGTAGGAAAACTGTCAACAAGCTAACTCTTTATATCTCAGTGGAAATTAGAACTATTCACTGGCAGACTTTGAAAGTCTCATGGGAAGGGGAACCCTACCAGCTCCCAGCTCTCAAAGCTACTGAATTCTCAAGAGACCCTCTGCATCTCAGGAGCATGCCTTTCAAAATCAGAAAGTATCTTTAGAGCCTTCATATGAAGCCACCCATCTCTGCATCACTTGGCATAGACAAAACAGACAAAAGCCCAAATCAAGCCACAGAAAAATTATGTCCAAAATGACAAGTGTCCTGTGGTGATGAACTTTTGCTGGATTTTTCTGGCTGCTAAATGATACTGTCAGTAGCTCTTTGAACATGAAAAGATCTATGGAAGCCGAGCACAGAGACTCAATCAATCCCTGGAGCATGACAGCTCTGCAGCAGGAGGTGGACCAGTGTGAAACACAGAGGTGAAGCAACCTATTCTCAGGCAGGCAGAGTTACAGGTACACAGGTTTATTTATACATTCCAGGACTTTTGTCCAGCTCTCAAGCCATATACAGAAATTATGAGGTAGGTAAAATACTGACTGATGGGCAGAGAGAGATAAGGGACAGAAAAACAGAAATCATGAGCGGATGGCAGGACATTAGTAGTGGGATGACTCATCTTATTTGAAAAAAAAATCTTGTTTAATAATCTGAGTGGGGAGCTTGGCAAAAACCTCAGAAAGGTACCAGCAAGGTCTGCTGGTGACAAAGTGAGGCACTACCTTACTGTCAAAGGTAAGTACAATGCAAATGGGCCATTGGAGGAACTGGGTGAGCTTGAGATCCAGCGTGTGGCAAAAGCAAGTGAAAATATGAAATTCAATGTGAAGTTCTCAGTGATTAAGGGCAAATGTCCCTGGTGGAAGATAAGCAAAACCTGTGTTGGACTTGGTTATGTACTACTTGAACACAAGTGACTATATGGCACCAGTTTAATGCAGCCATGAGGTATTTGCAATTCATACAATAAAATAACTGGAATTCTTTTACAATATTTGAGAAACTAAAGCTCTGGCAAGCCAGAGTATTGTATTTATAAAAGGAGAGGAGATAGAGAACTTCATCTCAGTACAGGAACAGGGCTGCTCTCTTCTCATATAGCATGAGGAAAAAGAGATTTAAGATAGGCACAGACAGGAGTGAAAGTGAAAAAAGATCAAACCCAGACAGCAATAGTGTATTTGAATTGAATGCTAAAATGCACCTGCAGTGCAAGAGGAATATGGAGACTGGGATGGCTTTCTAACCAAAGCACTGGACATAAAAACTAACAACATTAAAAATGAACCTCCTTTCATGAGAGCAACTCTGTAACTCCAGGACTCTAACAGCTATGGACTGATTGCAAGGACTTATTTGAATCCTCTATTTCTAATTACATTCAAATAAGATTGAAAAGTCAGACATAAGAGGTTGCTGTTGCCATCTTCAGTTGCTCATGTGCATTATGACACAGCATTTAGATGATCACACATTAGTTTTTCCCCCAGAATGTTCACTGCAGTCATCCAAGGGGCAGCTATTAAAGACATCTCTGCCTTTCCCATTCAACATGTACCCCTCAGCCTCATTAGCCAAACTTCCCAGTGAATACAAAAAATCATAGATTTCCTTAGAGACATTCCTACAGTGCTGTCAGAATATATATGTACTTCATAAATGCAAATGTCTACCAACTTCTTGTAAGAGTAATAGAAAGATTACTCCTGTTTGGAAGCAGGGAGATAAAATAGAGAGGAATTGTGTCCATAATGAGAAAAAATCATGCAGCAATACCCCTTGAAGGTGTTGATATAAATGCTCCCATCTTTCTGCAGAACAAGCTCCAGAATTACACGCTAGAGACAGACACTGAAGAAAATGTGGTTAGTGACAGCACTGAAAGGGCCTGATTCCAGGGAAATCTCCATCATGGTACAAGAACACCCCTGACAGACCCAGAGAATGAGTACTTCAGGAGGTATTCAGCTTCATTTCCCCAGCACTGTCCTTTTTCTTTCTGCAAGCCTCTGCCTCATTCACTACACACCTTCCAAATTCTGCAACAAATGAGGAACAGACAACAGCTTCATTCCCACATCATCGTCCATCCTATGCACTGATTCGTCCATCCTATGCCCTGTGGAAAAAATAGGTTGTAATCATGTTATTAAAGGCTGGATTATCATGCCTTCATGCCAGGAGGCCAAGCAGGGGTTGCCCAGGCAACCTGACTTCTTGCATTTCCCAGAGCAGGACTTGTCAATGCTTTCTAGCATCACCAGTATTAAAAAAAACCAAACCAGCAACAACAACACAAAGAGCACCTCCAATGTCCTTGTGTGAAGCTGTGGCCGTCAGGAGGTTGCAGGTGCCCACACATGCATTGCTGCTCTATGTTGTTGAAGCTATGGAGGGAACCTCAGCAAGCTGAGCAAGCAAGGTGGGCAGCAGTGAGGGGTGAAGCAAACATTTTAGGAGTGGATTTTGCAAAAGAAGAACTCTAAGAATGAATCCTTGGGCTTGACAGCTTGCTCTGGAAGGAGGGGAATGCATATGATTGCCGCCCCCTTGGTCTTCATGCTCTAGCTCTCCTCTGCTCTTCCTCCATTGCTTTCCCCCAGTCCCTTGTTGCCCTTGCCTCTCTAAGTCCCCTCCAGCTATCTTTATTCTTTGGTCCCACACTTCTTAAAGTGTCCTATTTCCTCTCTTCTCTGGCCACTGGTCCCCTCTTACTGTTCTCCACTTCCACTTGGTCCTCGAGGTCTCCCTCCTACCCTTCACATCCACATCCAGACTCACCAGCCCTCTCCCCTCTGGTGCCCGTGGGCTGGGGAAATGCCAGCAGCACCAGGGCTTGCTGCCAGTCCTCTGCACATGGTGGCTGCCCTGTAAAGCTGGCTGCTCTGGGAGCATAGGTAGCCCTGGGCACAAAGAACCAGTGTGCCAGCGGGGCACAAATCAACAGGCGGGAGTGCAGCCAGCAGAGGACTCAACTAGTGAGAAAGAATCATTCAAATTGAAACAGAGGCTGAGAGCCCCCTCTTCCTTCTCTTTTTTCTTTTTTTCCCCTTTAAATTTTCTAGCATATTTGGCTTCTCCCAGTGGCATCAAAAGGCACATTCTCAGTAGGCACATTCTCACCCTTTTCCCCCTGATCCCTCCAAAATCTGGGACTGTGAGATATCACTGCTACCTTTGCTAAGGACACATTCAGGGCATGCATGGGCTCTCCTCTTCCATTGCTGTAGACCCAGCCAGTAGAAGAGGACCTGCCCAGTTTTGCTCTTGTTCATCACTATCATGTGCAGCACATCCTGAATGAGTTGCTCAAACTCCACAATAGCTACTGGACAACAGGGGCCCAGCAGGAGAAACCCAGACCCTCCTGAAACTGATTTAACATATAAGAGGAAAACAGAAATCACTGGCTGGGTATTTTTTTTTTTAAATTTTGAGATAGAAATCTCTGTGGCTGACACACAGCCTTCAAGCAGCACCTTGAATTGTTTTGATTACATTTCCCACATTTACCTGACCACGCTCTGGGAGCTGCATGGAGCATTTAAGTTTAGCACCATTAAACACCCAAGAAACAGGATCTGGCAAAGGACATCTGGCAAGTTTGTACTTCACTATCACATGGAATCACCTATATTGTGGAACCAGGAAACTTGCTTTTCTTCTCCAGCTAGTGCACTCTTCATCTATCACAAGCTTTAAGCCAGTAGTGCAGTGATGGGTGCGATGGTCTAAGGATATGAGTAAAGCTTTGCAGGGAAATAGACTGACTTTCAGCCATAAGGCATTTTCACCCTTCCCTCTGCTATTTAGCCAGTGGAAAAGGAAAATGCATATAATTACATAGATTCAAGCCTCATGCTTAGGAAAAAATATACATAGCAAAACAAAACAGAAAAATAGCTTATGTTTAAAGAAAAGCGATGGCAGCATGTTGTTCAGCAGCAAGAAAGATGAAAGAGTATTAATTTTTTTTCTTCAAAGGGAAACCCCCTGAAAACCACAGTTTTCCTAATTGCAATCCACACACATACACACAGAGTACTTATAACCACCTACCCCTGCATCTTCTCCATGTTGTGTCCTGCATGCAAAAGTACTGGCATCTATTTGGCTGCTTTACCTTTGCTGTCCACCTTTGGTGATTACATCAATATTATTTCTCTAAGCTTAGAAAGGAATTTTGGGAAGGAACAGCTATAACCTCTCTGCTCACAGGAGCACCACTGGTTTGTGTTTCCATCCAGAGACGAGCAAAAAGGGAGCTTTGTTTTTTCAAAGCTGGCCAAGCAGTTATTTTCATGTTAAGGACCACCTGAAATGTCTCCCCACACAGGGGAAGCCAAAGAGAGCTGCCCAGGGGGGGGTTTCCATGGAAGCACCATGTGTGACACTTGGGTAGCTGCTGATACAGCAGTGTCCCCAGTGGAGCATTTCCCAGGACACCCAAACACAGCAGGGCTGGGTGCTGGTGCAGCCAAGACCAGCTTGCAGCAGACAATCTGCTCCAGGCAACAAACAGACCCTTCAACCCCACACAAAGAAAGAGAATGCATTCCATAAAAATAATGAAAGCCACCTAAAGTGCAACACACCATTAAAAGGTGTAAGATTATGGTTGGTGCTCTAGGATTTCCAATTCCCCTGAACACTCTTTTCTCCTGTTTCTTAAACAATCTTCATACCTCCTCATCATTTATGACACTAAGGTCAGAATGACTGTCCCATAGCTGCACTGAATTTTATGTTTGCTTCTCATTCTACAGGGAAACAAGGAAGAGATGGTGAAGTTTCTGGAGAAACTGGTAGTGAAAAACCTGTACTGAATTAATATTATCAAAATATTTAATTTGCTCATGATTGAAGCTGACTTTTTTGGGTAATGCTTTGAAACATATGTCAACAAAATTCAACAAGCCTGTTTAAAAAATGACATTTCAATACACAGTTGAATAAAAATAATTTCCTTGATGCAAAAACAGATTTAAACTTTTATTTCTAAAAGAGGGCAAAATTTAAAGCCAACTGGTGAAATTTTGAGTGAAAACATACAAGGGTAATTTAACCAGGTCTAATTCACCTATGTTTCTTAAGCATTAAGGAAGAAAACGCAACCACATAAATCCAAAAATCTCATTATAAAGGCAAATTATTTCTGCCCAAAATCAAAAGGTACACCAAGCACTCAAAAATAAAGCCACTTAAAGCTGCTGAGGAAAAAGGTCCCTTTATGCAACCAACATCAGCCCTGGGACAGGCTACTGAAGATAAGGGCAATGTAAATTTACAGCACTCTAGACTGCTATCAACGCCCCTTGTCTCACTCTAATTTGTTTCCCATGTAAGCACACTCCCACTCCATCTTGCTGCCTGGGCACTGCCCATCAGCTGCCCACCCTCATTTTCCCCTGGCAGGGGTGGTTGTGGCAGCTGCTGGACCTTCCAGCTGCAGCTGGATCACTGTCTGCACTTCTAGTTCTTGTCTTTAGAGACATCTCCCAGGAGAGCACTGGCAATCACCTCAACCCAAAGGACTGTGAAAAACAGCAGATAAATTTTGCTTCCTTTTCCCTCTGCCCCGCCTGACACATGGGCCGCCTCCCCATGGAGCAGAGGCCCTACAGATGGTTAGTGGCACTCACACTACAGGCAGTGTAGCCAATGAATGAGCAAAAACATTCAGAAGTCAGTGGAAATGTTGTTATTCTTCAGAAAGGAATATCAGCCTGCTCACTGCTTGGAGAGCAATTAAAAATTAAATTTTCTTGCATCCCAGAATTATTTTGTCCTCTTGAACACTGCTTCTTTTCACTATGGGATTCATATCAAGTGCCAAAATAGGTATATGTGAAACTCCTGTAACTCCTGTAATGATCTGTTATATCGGATACACTAATTTGATTGGTATGTATGAACAAAATTACAGTGGGATTTTCAGCTGGAAGGGACTGCAAGTGAGCAGTTTATCATTTAAATACATTGGGAGTAATTCAATCACAGGAGGCTGTTACAACAATGCAGTGAGCAATAATCAACAGCAACACAATGGCCCCTAACTCGAGCAAAACATTTTCCAGCCCTTTCAGATGGAAAACAAAGAATAAAACAAATCACAAAACAAAAATCCCTCCACACAGATAGGAAAGCTCAACAATGGAATAAAGGGAAAACAAGGGATATCTGCATCAGTCTCAATGCATCCTTTCTCCCAGACAAGTACCAGTTTTTTACCCATTCCATGCTAGAGCAGCTGTGGGCATGTTACTGCAGCACACAAGAGCAGAGAAAGGGTTCCTTCTCCTCCTGACCCACTGAAGGCCTGCAGCTTGATCACATTCTTAATTCAAGAATCCTACTGTATTCCTGTCCTCAATCAGACCATCAACACTCCCATGCACCCAGAATGAGAGAGGTGATCCTTCCTTCAGCAGTTTGTAGTTAATCTTATTTAATTCTTTTGATACTGCTCCTCTCTTACTCTTCCTACAGAAATGCAGCTTCCCTCCAGGGCTGCATCAGAAAAGCCTTTAAGTGTGAGGCTGCAGAAAGAGTTTAAAGAGAAAAAGTGAGGGAAGAAATAATAAAATACCCCAACAATCTCATCATCAACAAGGAGGCAGAAATGACCATGTTCTGAATCATTTATAAATTGCAAATGGTGCTGCACTGACAACTGCTATATCTAAATGTATTTGCAGTCAGAGGATCCACAGTATCAAGGTGTGCAATAACGTTCTGTTTTTCCACATGAAAGGGAGTCCCTTCCTTAAACAAGAGTGTGCTCCTACCATGAAACTGCTGAGAAAAGTAATCAGTCACAAATAATAGTCACAAAGCCATTTTGAAATTTAGCATTCCTCCATGGGCAATATCATTACACATGGCTTAAATAAATCCCTCCAGCACACAGTTGTCTTTATTATTTTCCTCAAAGAAAACATAGGTAATTAGTTTTTTCTTTCCCCTAAAATATGTTTTCTTTCATCTGCAAATTCGAGAAGCTTACTGACAAAAGCCAAATTTAGGAATTGGTTGGGAAACTCCAAGGCCAATTGTTGGCTTAGGGACCCATCATTTCTCAAGATCCGTAATTTATCCTGAGGAAGACCTGCAAACATGAGCTGGGGAGGATATCAACAGGTTAATGTCAGCTCTACACCCCTAATGCTTTCCAAAGCTTTACCAGAAAAATGGTATTTACACTGCAAAGCCACGTTGTGTGATGCAGATCCAGGAACTGTAACCCCAGACACACAATTACATGCAAGCCAGCTAATTAACACCAGTGTGCTCACTGCACCAAAAACCACACCAATGACCTGGGAATGTGTACCAGAGATCCTGAACTGGGCTTTCCATCCCTCACTGATGGAGATTGATTTATTCATTAGGCACTGATGTTAATGGTGACAGTTTTCTAATCCTGAACATTATGAAGCCTGTTCCAGTGCTGACTGACGCCTTTAACACTGACTGACAGAAACCACAGTTACCCCAGAGACCCTCAACAAGGATTGGACAAGTACAGAAACATCACTTCTGCCCTCTGGCAGAGCTACTGGCTGAGGTTCCCCTGCAGCCCCTGGGGTCAGAGCAGCTAGGGTTGGAAAAGCAGGGGAAATGTTTTCACCATTTTCTGACAAGTGGGTAGTGTGATACAGATTGCAAATGACAGTGCAAAATGAGTGTTTATGGGCAGAATCAAGCCTGTGAGAAGAAAAAGGGGAGCCTGAACCAAATCTGACAGGTGCACTGGGGAGATAAAGATCCAGAAGCTCTTTGCCTTTGTTGTAATTAGACAAACACACACACACACGCACAGAGTCTCTTCTGCACAGCAATCTACAAGACAGGATCTTGGCTTTTTCAGTGACAATTTTGGTGATGAGGGAAGCCAGCTCTTTCTAAAAGCATCAGTAAACCAAGGAATTGATACTTCAGACTCTCAAGCAAAAACTGCACCCTACCACTGTCACTTGCAGCAACCCTCCATCCCTAAAGCAGCATCACTCAGATGATGCAGGAGAGGAGAGCAAAACAACTCTTGGAGCAAAGCTTTAAAGAGAAACTCTAACGTGGTTTAAGTTTCCCATGGGGCTGGCACTTTAGAATGGGGGGTTTGGGTGCTGCTGCTTCTCCAAACCAACAGAGTAAGTGTTGGGTGATGGGCAGGATCCCAGCAAGCAGCTTCCTTAAAACCCAGTTTCCAGAGGCACACAGAGCTGAAGGCGCACTCTTGTAGCCATGGTAAAATTCTTCAAGGGATGTCTCTAAAGACACACGGCACTGCAAGACAAGACTATAATTACTAGGACTGTTCAACAGGCCATGGAGCTTTTAACACAGTGCTGGAGTTTGGAATGGGTTTTCAAGAGCAGAATGAATGAATGAATGAATGAATGAGATGATTTACAGGCAATAAATGGACAATTTAATTCTGGGCAGTGATGCCACGTGCAGCCATTGGAGAAGAGCTGGGGGGTTTGCAGTTGTCTGTCCAACTCACCAGGCACCACTCCTTTGATGTCGCTTTCTGTGCTCATCCTGTTCTTGTGCGTGAGCTGAAGGATCAGCTCCTTGGATGCCTCAAACTGTTGTGTAGCCATCAACCACCGAAGAGACTCTGGGAAAATACTTTAAAGAGGGAAAACAGGTTAGGGCTGCTTCCAGTTTTCTGTCAGAGGACGAACAGGTAGAGTTTTGGTTGCTCATTTAACCACTCAGAAGCTATGTAATTATTTCAAAATACAGAAGAATAATTTATTAAACAAAAAAGAGAGAAAACAGATTTAGAATGTGCAATTTTATGATATTTTCTTTTACCCTGATTCACAAATCATAGAGCAAGTATCCTATCACATGGAAATACGGCACATTGGAATTTTATAACGTATTACAGGTGCTCTGTCCATTAATATAACTTGAAAGAAATGAGAGGAAGAGGCAGCGCTGTCTGCAATAGACATTTGATGCCAAAAAGGGAGTGAATGAGATGAGCAGTTCACACATGGTAATTCAGACCAAAGAAAGAAAACAGCTGACAGAAGTAATTTGGGTTCTCTTTTAAAGACAGATGAAAGAGAAGAATTACTTCTTAGGATCATAAGCTTCCATGACTAAAGATAATATTTTGTTAGCTGCCTTAAAAGCATATATATGCATACAGTTAAAAAAGTCCACTTTCCATCCAATTGTTTCTTACAAGTGCTGATATTAACCAGATCAATGAGCTTAACTGGTCACTCTCTTTTTTTTTTTTTTCCAAATGGGTTTATTTTAATACAAAAGAAATACATAGCTCTTAGAACAAACCCCCAAAACCTCCCATACTTCTACAGACGTGAAAACTTCAGATCTCACTGTTTTTTTTCACGTTAAGACTTTGTTTTTACTGTTCTTCCTAAAGAGCGTATTAAAAACAAATTTAACAACCACTTTTAACTTCAAATACATAATAAACTCTCAAATTTCCTTCACAAAACACTGATCTTTGCTGTGGATGCTGCCCAGTTCTTGTCCTTCTAAGCAGCCAATTGCACCATTATTGTACTATCTCTGAGGGCTGATACAATTTGGAAAACACCTTAGCAAAGCCTCCAACTGAGACACAGAAATTATTTTTGGAAGAAGAAATAAAAAGGGGAGAAATCAGGCAGACTGCAATCTAAATTATATCAGCCAATAAAAATATGTAACAACTATGATGACAGCCATTCAGCTCGACAGCTTATTTACTATGCCTCGTGCTGCACAGATGATTTAGCACATCTTTCATCAGAAAGTCTTGTAAAGAAAAAGCATTTTTTTTTAAAGTACTAAGAATTTTTTGAATGCAAAATCTCTGCATGCTTGGCCCTGGTGAGGGTACAGCCTCAGCCACCAGCCTGCAAGTTTTAGATTTTCAGCAGTCTGCTCACAGGTTCCAAACAACAAGTCCTGTGATGACCACCCACACAGAGGGAAAGGAAAGGAGCCACAAGGATGGGCTTCACAGGCTGGGCACAAACATGTCTCTCATCTTCTGGGTCCTGGTCAGACTGGAAGTGCTGAAGCCTAGCATCTTTCAGGTGCTCCATCTCTCAGTGTGAGCAGTGAGAGATTCCTTAGGGACACTTAGAAATCCATGGGCTGCCTTGAGTCCAGGTCATCAATCCAGTCACATTCAATAAGAACTCCCATGGCCACAAATTTCCAACAGTGTGACACATTAAGTCTGGTTGCACCCAATGGACTCTCATGGCCAGAGTAGAAGTCTGATGACATTCAATAAATCTCATGGCCAGATGCAAGTGTCACTTACTGAGCAACAGGAATGCAGGTTCTTGGGTTGCTGGTGATAAATACACTGTCTGTGGAAGCGCACACCAATAATACTTACAGTATGAATGATACAGCCATTGACAAATGCATTAAATTGTGAGATGACTAAGTAGCACTAAAAGTATGATCACAAACACAAGCTTGCTTTTTGAATTTCCTGAAGAAGCACTCAGTATTGCTGAGTATTCGAGTCTCACACAACAGATGGTGAGAGAGGAGATAGGTATAGCCCATCGATGGCCCAAGGATTATAAGGTGCAGCCTCCTCTGACCTCCTTCCTCAATTAAGCTACATTTATAATGTTTTCTTGGAGGGAAGGGAAAGGTAAAGTTACAGATGATGTCATTTCATGTTTAGGTTGGAATTTTTGTGACTTCAGTCATTAGCATATGGGGGGTAAAAAGCAATACATATTTTTGAGCTAATGTCACAAAGTTCAGCTTTTGGTCACCTTTTGGGTAATTCCTTTGGCTTACAGTTCCCATCAGCTCCATTGTTTTAAACAGAGCATGACCACAAGCCCTTTGTGCCACTCCATCCTTTGTTTCCTGCCTCCCCTAGAGCAGTACACCACGCTCCCTCAGTGTTCCTGCTCCAAGGTGTGCAGACAGCTTGTCCCTGGTGAACCACAGCCAATGCATGCACTCCTTCCTGCTGACCTTTGGTTTTCAGTATTTTCCTCATATAGCTGGCTGATAGTCTGCTACCTCCTCCATCAGTAAGCAAAGGGCCATGCTTTCACAGGCAAGGAAAGAACAGCAGTGGGGTTGGGTTAAACTTTCATCTCTTGTTCCACAGCTGCTGCTGCCTGGGAGAGGAGGATGGCTGGAAGGCACACTGGGGAAAAAAGATGTTAAGTTTGAGAAGTCCTAAGAGGAGAGAAGAATCCTTGATAAAGACCAGGAAGGTACCACTTGTAGCTGGAAGGAGAACTGTGACTCTGTGCAGATGGATGGAAAATGGATGCCCATGGGAAGGCTGCAATGTGTTGTCATTTAGGGGGCTGCCTCAGGTCAACAAACACAGTTATTCCAACTTTGTGTCTTGGTGTGAGTAAATCATACCTAAAAGCACCAGAAAAGAACCAGCCACCTCTTTCCATTTCTTCAGTTTTGGTTAGAGTGAAGCAGTTTATTTCAAATTATTGATGCCTTTACTGACATTCATGGCATCATCCTGTCTGGAGCTTCCTTTTTTCAAGGGAGAAGAAATAAGGTCTCTGTGTAGATGGAGTTCCCCTTCCCTTATGGCTCTAATACACACACACACACTTGAAAGGAGTCTAACTTCTATAAAATTATCTTTATACACCTGTCACAACCCCCTGTGCCCATGTCTGACTTACATGGGTGCCTTTCTGCCCTTCCAGAATGACCTAAGAGCCCAGTAGGGGTATCTGCTCCATACTTTTGTATCCAAGCCCATCTACCCATCCCTCCTAGACAAATCTGCTGCCTTTCCCTTTCCTCCCATCCATACCCAGCTTCCCAATCCACTCAGCCATGCACCTCCTGGGGACTGTGTAGCCTGCCATGTGCATGTGGCCAACAGAAGAGCAAAACCATGGGTGGGAAGAGGGCTAAGCCCCAGCCTGGAGGGGCAAACAGCACTCTCACAGCAGGAGATGGAAGTAAAGAGAGTACAGAGAAGGAGGAGGCAGTGCAGGGGCTATTTGTAGCATCTGTTGACTCACTGCTTCGGGTACATGATGGGGAATTAGCAAGCAGTGCAGTTTTCCAGTTCTTCTTTTATTACCAATCAGTTAGCTTTCTTCCTTTATCTGTAACACCCGCTGTGGGTCCATGTTCCATTTGGAAGGAAAGAAAGAGGTAATAAAACGGTAACTCTTCCCAGAGAATATGCAACAGATGGAAGCAAAGAGCCTAAGAGAAAAGTACATACTGTACTGACAATATAATTAAAGAGGCATCCCAACCAAGGTTCATTTCTGCAAATGCAAAAACCTTGGGCAACACAAATCCCCATCCTCTGGCTACTACCACTACTTCTCAAGCTGCTATGCTCCACAATATATAAGGGGGACTTATTTGCTTGGTTTGCCTGCCCTGTCTAGCTCAAAAGCCACAGAGTTCTTGCAGATTACACCATTTTTGGCATTTCCTATCCCTTTCAATGTCACTCAGGTATGACTTCTCAACAGGAATGTGTGAGACCCTGCCAAAGCCACCTGAAAAATGTGTGGCCTCCAGAAGACTGCTGAGGGATGCCTGTTCTCCATGCCATCCCCCATGCTCATTAGGCATCTCTATACTACTGCACCATCCTTTTGGACACAAATGTCGTAAATACTCTGTTTGATATTGTGTTTTACCCAGTGGTGGACATGAAGTATTTCAGCTGGCGGGCATTACTACATGAAGCTTTGGAGCAGACCAGCACGTGTAGAGCATATAGCAGGTGAGGGAGAGAAGAACAGCATCACAGATTAACAAAAACACTCTTCGTTATTCATCAAAGAGGTAGATGAGGCTGTCAAGATGAGGCTATTTAAATTTTATATGTTGGAATACAGGGGTAACCCCCTGCTCCTGCTGTCATTATTTTCAAGGGACTTTTAACTCTCCTGAGTGCACATTTTGCCCATGCTGAGGCATGTCTACCTTGGGAATAAGCAGTGAAATCCCCACTGAGGGTTACCACCATCAACACAGGAGGGGTCTGTAAGAAGTTAATACAAAAATATAACTGCTACACAGTGCAACATGTTTTTACATGTTGTAACTTGTCAGGCATTAAAACTAGCAGCCTAGCTCGCCATGGTACCTAACAAGCTCGGTCCCGCACAGAGTGGTGCTTTCTTCTCAGTGTACAATAATGAAATACTTTAGACTTGTTAGTGTTCTTATTGTTAGGGCTTTGTACAACACTACTCTCATAAGCCTCTGTTGTCTTATGCCGCCACTGCGTGTCACTATTAAGACAGAGCAAAAAAGATAGATTTTTTTTGGAATGTTTATAAAGTCATGGTGGAGATGGGCCTGGCACTATTCCCAAGGTGAAAGCCATCCTACTTCTCTCAGACAGCTGTACCAACACCACAGTGCCACAGGCACAGAGGAGTGGGACTGGTTGGGAGTGGGGAATTCCCTGTAGGAACAATCCCAAGCCAATGCCTGGCACAGACCAGCCACCCAGACTTCAGCATAGCATGTGCTAATTTGGGCAAAATCAAGTCTAGTTCAGGGCTGACTACCTCAGGCATACAAAACATCCCAGTGTGCTTGTTCCAGGGCTGACAGATGTTATTTGTAACTTTTCTTGGATCAAAGAAACCAACAGTGTCAGTCCAGAACCACAGCATAGGTATTAAGGGAAAATATAGCCATGTAGTCACAATCTGACAACAGCCAGGCTGGGATGCATCTTCTCAAGAACTATTTTAGTCCTTAAAGGGGACGTGACAGCCAGAATAATAACAAAGTACAATTTCACCTCAGTGAAAGGGGACTGTCTCCTAAGCGCCCAGCATGTTGCAGGGTGCAGCATATTTGCATGCTACAGCAGATTATAAAGTTATTATTTTTTTGAAAGTCAAGCTTTGCACAAGGTGGATGGAAGAACAAGGGGAAAGGAATTTGTATTGTGAAGCACACACTCTTCCTGAGAGTGGAGCATCTCCCAGGAGCTCGTTGGCAGGAGGAAGAAATACTTACACCCAGTAAAACAGCATCAGCAGGAAGGGACAGATGATGACTGCCTGGAGGACCTGCCAGTCCCTGCAGAGGGCAGCCAGCCCTGGCATGAGGAACTGCCCTGCCATCTCGATGAAGCTCGCCACCATGGTGATCATGAACCGGTGCCCGGGAGGACAGAGCTCTATCCCTGAAACACAGAGCACACAGACAGTCAGCCCCACCAGCAAAGATACCCCCAGAGCATCTCTAGGAAACTTTAAGGGAGGTCATGTCCTGCAGGAGCTTTGGTCAAAGCTATGCAGAATCAAATAACTTTTCCTTCCTCCCATATTTAGGCTCTAGAGAAGCCCATTAACAGCTGTCTGTGGTGCAAACATTGCAGCTTCCATTTACCTGCTGTGTCCTCACTGCCAGATTTCCTTCCGTCTCTGCCTAGAGAAGCATTTTACTTAACAACAAGGTGTTTATTTTTAAAAGGGAATGTATGGTCAAACACAAGCCAAAGATCTTGGGTCATGGCTTTTCACACATCTCAGAGACACCACCTGCCTTTCCAAACAGTTGGCTGGGAGCTGGAAGAGCACAGCTCTCAGCAGGATTCAGGCACCCAGCTGAAAAGGGGTGCCACCTGCCCACAGCTTAATATGCTCTGACTCAGCCAATTCCAAGCTGGATTTTGCTGAGTGTGTTGTTTCTGGGTTTGCTTTTCCCAATAGCTTATCTTGATCAACTTTCAAACAGGCCAGCCTCCCATCTGTCTTATCCTGCCCTCCACCCTTCCTTTTGCTCCATCACTGGTATCTCTGGTTGCCTCAGCTGTCTTGTGACAAGTGAGTAGATAAAACTCAGTTCACTAGATCAAATGTTTCCTTAAACCCTGAACCCTGGCTAGCTTTATTCAGTCAGAAGATGAATTTGTCAGAATCACAGCCTAACAACAAAATTTTTAAAAAATCACAGAAGAAATAACAAACACAAAAATGGGACTGGCTTGTGGAAATTTTTTCACCAGTAAGATTGTAATGGAAGCCTCTATATCATATTTCCCATTTGCCCACATTCACTTGCACAGACTAATACTTTAGCTCAATAAATCTGCCACAAATGTTGTGTAGCACTTATTGGAATGCTGATACAGAAAGAGGCCTGTAAACATTCGCGATATGTTGCTGTCAGCATTGTTGCTTTTCTATGGGATGTTTTCTGTGGTGGTTTTAAATTAGAATTTAATGGTTATTAAAATTTTAACTGAAAAGCCCTAAGAAAATAGGAAGATATGACAGCTGCTCCTTCATTCACTCTCTGACCTGCAGTTTGCATTTATCACTGTAACACAGATTTAAACTAACTGACCAGGAACTAGCTTGTAGATCAAATGTAGGATTAAACACCACACATTTTGTTCCCTTTCTTTTCAACCAATACAAAAACTACCAATGGATTTTTGCCAATAAAAAAAGAAACTGCATCTGTTGTCAGGCAGCCCAAATTTTCATTAGCCTAACCACAAACACAGCAGCTTTGGAAACAAAAAGAGGAGAAAAAGCTCTCAAAGACTCTCACATGCTATAAAAGGCTTTTACATTTTAATTTGGTAAAAAAGATTAAAACACAGAGCTTCTTATGACATTAATATGGTTTCATTCTTACTAATGAAGTATCCCAAGCCTAGGAAATTTTTGTTGTTCTATGCAAAGAGGTCATTTCCGTTTTATTTCTCTAATCTCCAAATATAAAGTGCTTCTGTTTGTTTTTCTAAACCTTAAAGTAACAGTTACACATGCTCCAATATTCCTTCATTAAGTACAAGGTCGAGTTTTGTTGCCATAGAAACAGAAAGTCTGCATTAGATATGTAAGGCTTTAGCATTTCAATTGCATTGCTCAGGTTAGTATCAGGTAAAAATAAAAATAACCGAGATATCAACTTCTATATAAAGTCAGGAAGCAGTGACCAAATAATAAAAGTATATTTTATTAAGTCACTGGTGCACAGTAAAAAACTCTGCATGCAGCAGTTACTCGTTGTATAGAAAGGAAATAGCTTCAGAGATTGTTTAGCATCTATTTTCTTCTCTGGATTATCACATGCATATGATCAGTTTCTGCCCTTTCCTCCAAAGAAGCTGGAGATGACAAGAAAATAATCCCTGCTCTAGCTGGGTGAGTGTGACTTTCAGGCAATACCAGCAGCATATGAAATACCACATCTCTGTTGAAATGCTTTACATATTAGGACAGCCTACTGACTTTCCAACATATCTGGCTTCAATTTTATATGATAAAAGATTCAGCACTGCAGTTTTTAGCAGGCATCTCTCAGTGAACCCTTTCCCACCCCTGCAGCAGAGCCACCCTCGGCAGCAGCCTTGCCCTGGCGGCAGGAAAGGCACCCAGCTGATGCTCACACTGGGGCTCCATGCACCCAGGCACCAGGAGGCCTCTGTGGCTGCAATCATTTCCACCCAGCTCACATGACAAAAATACCAGCTCAGATCAAATCCCTCCAAGACTGAGATCAGCTTTACACACCCATAGCAAATTGAGCAAGCAAGCTCCAGCTCCCCAAATCAATGAGAAAGTCCATCTCAGTTACTTGGTGGAGCATGGAGCAAACCCTCATCATGCACACTAATCATGGAAATCATCATCAATACCAAAGACTCCCAGATACATCCATTTGCTCTACTTGGAAAATTTTGTGTGGGCAAGGAGACACGCATGAAAAGGATTTTGCTTCCTTGCCCAGCATTCCTACTCAGTCAGAGCAGCACATCCAACTCAGAGACCTAATTTCCCTAAGGCCCAGGCAAGTGATGGTATGGGCAAGTTGCAACCTTCATGCAAAGCTGTCCTACAGCACTCAGACAGTGAGATCAGGCATGCTCAGGGCACATGGGACAGACTCTCTCACAGGCAATAAGCACTCAGCAACAGTGGACAAACAAGCCAGACCCAGACATCCCCTAAGGCAAAACTGCTCCCAGCCTGAGGGCAGCTGTCTTACCTCAGGTGTGATCCAGACCTGGGCCCCACAGGCATCCCAGGCACAGGGCACTGAACACATGAGACATGCACAGCATACTGCACCTCTGGCTGGGAAATGTGGATTTCCTGTGGCCACACATGTTATGCCCACGAGCACTCAGGTTTGCTGAGGTGTGAGTGAGGGGGCTACTGAAGAAGCTCTGTAGCACCCTGGGAGCTCAGCCCCACTGCCCTGTGCAGGAGGTCACTGCTCTGGGCAGTCAAAACCACAGGTCGGACAACAGCTTAACCAGGCAAATGGAACAGGCGCTGGTGACAATAGGTACAAGGACTTTACATCAGAAAGGGCAAAATGTCTTTGCTAATATCTTCTGTCCCTGGCACTAGGATGGACAAACTAGGCTGGTATCCTTTACAACAGTTTTTCAGGCAACCTCTTCTGAAAAGAAGATGGCAAAGTCAGCCAAAATCACTGTAAGTATGCCACAGCGTGATATCTGAAATGCTGTCCTCTCCCCTTTCCAACTGTTTTTTTAACTCCCATCCTCTCCACCTGCAGGTGTGGAAGGAGCAGTCTGGGAACATACAGACAGGACACTGGGTAAAACTGCAGTATTACTGGGTTCACATCAGCTCATGTAGCCACAGAGCATGGCCCTGCATGGCCCACCTCCTCCAAATCCCACCAGGCAAGCTGTCACTGCCATGGAGGGACTAAGATCCACATCCTGTCCTTTCTCACTCCATCTTGCACTTGCACACTGCTAACAATCTGTTTCAGATTTCAGAAACTCTCTCGTTTTTCTTAGAAGGCTGACATTTATTCTCAGAATATTTGCTCAAGGATGAAAGGCAAATACTTCTATTTAAAAAAAAATAAAGAAGTTAAGTCATTTGCAAATAGCATATCAAGAGGAAAAAGAGGCTACATTGCACTGCTCGAACAACTCTCTAGCATTCACTTTCTCATCCCCAGACCCAAAACACAAAGCAATCCTTGTTCTGCAGCCCAAGTTTTAGCTCCATCTGAAACCACAAGGTAGCAGCTTTTTGTGCCTTTCCAGTGTTCTCTCCCTGCCCAGTTTCCATCTGTAAGCCACCAAGACTGTAATTATATAGGAGAATCCCTTGGAGAAAACAGCCAAGACAAAGCACCTGCTGGCCAACAGCATTCACACTGAAAAAAATCCCCAAGGAGACAGTGACAGTCTGATTCTAGATTGACACTCACAATTGCACATTATATTAAAAAAAAACCAGACAAAACCCCCCAGTTTCTGTCAGTTTCCCCCATATTACTGCACACCCAATACTCTTAATTCCTTCCATCTTAGCACTGCTCTGAGACATTCCTCCTCTTCAAAAGGGAGGAAAAAGATGAGACTCAGGTAAAAACCACTCATAATTTGAGAAGGATTCTCTGGCAACATAGCTTTAGGTGTAAAATGTGGGACACCAGAAATTCCAAGAGGCAGTAGCAGCCTACAGCACCAAGGTTGTGTTTGCCTCAGCCCTGCTCAGCCAAAAGTCAAGCGCAGGATGTGACCTTGAGAAAGAATTTTGCATTTGGACTCTGCTTTTCATCAGAGCACAAAAGGAAAGGAAAAAACCTCGAAGAGTATTCAGTTTCCCAAGTTGTTCAGCACCTCCAGCACATCCCATCACCTCCGTGCTCCCTGAGGTCACCCTTTTGGCACGATGAGCTCCGCCACCTCCGTCACAGTGATCTTGAAGACTGCTGGGAGGTGACCCTGTCCCTGCTGCTGCTGTGTTTCCTAATTCCCACCAAGCTCTCTCAAACCTCTGGGACCTTGTCTTCCTCCAACACTCTCTGTGGGATTTGCCCTCTGCTGTAAACAAATTGTCTCACTGGATTCTCCTGGAATAACATGGCCCCCAAGGTAGCTTTTGGCTAGCTGACCAGATAAAATTGCAGCAAAAAACTATCCATAACTCCCAGACAAGATTACAGCTGGCTGCTAGGGGGACAGGAAAATAAAATCCAACATATCTGCCTATATACACAAATTTCCCCTTGGTTACCAGACACAAACTTCTAAGAGCTGCAAGCCCTACCCATGGGCTATGTACACTTCCATCTCTCAGCACACTTCTGATTCAGTCCTGGCTGAAATGGCCCAGGTTAATACAACACTCACTCCTGCATGAATTCAGACAAGGAGCACATCATCTTGATTGC